TGTTGCTGCATAAGGGTGGAGACTATATGTGCGCCCTGTACAAGAGTAATTAGCATACACCAATTAAACGACCACCAAAATGAAAATTTACTTTGCGTCACAAAAGACGGGATTTATACACGGTTGATGTGTAAATAAATACTTCGACGTTCGATGAAAACGTGTGATCAAATTCACTATGTGGGACAAATGAACTCCAAAAATCACATCAAGAGATGATAGGACATATAATGGGCAAACTCTTTCAGTCGTAAACTCCAAAACAACCTTTTTTGGTTGTTTAAGGAGAAAAAAACAAAACTATGGAGCAGGAAGCGCCTCCTATATAATCCCAGACTAAACTCGAGTTCGGCCACTGCTCACTGACAAAAAATTGGTACATTACAAAAGAACACGGACAAAAATATTAGCCAGGAGTGGAGGAGACTGGAGGAAAAAAGAACTGGACGCAAGTCACAACCTGAGAGTCTAGGTACCAGTGCAACACAAAAGGAGGGTCGTCCGGACGCGTACCTCAGCGCCTGTATGCATGGAAGAAGTCCGCCGAAGAAGTGCGCGTTGAGGTATGGAATAGAAGCTAGGGAGTTAACGTGTTGTCTTCCATCTGCCAAACACATCGCTATCCTTCGCTGTTAGGACTAAGACTCCCCGCAAGGGGTAGAACGTCGCTCTGAGATGCTAGTAGACGGAGAAATCTACAAAATTTGAACGTGAAATAAGTACACGTTCCGTTCTTTCACATAGGACAATGCGTGGAAAGTTGGTCGTAAGTCACGAAATGTTTTTACGTTTACAGTAAGTCTTTTACGGGAAACTGTGCCCCCGTCAGCAGGTGGTTAGATACCAGATCAACATGACCCCTCACTGTTAGGTTCAAGGCATGTCTCTTTGAAGTTGACATAGTGGAGATACCAGCCGAAGGAGAACTTTTGAACGCATGGAGGGCGAAGACTCTATAGTAAGTTTATCTCGAGAGAGCCCGGAACGTGTAAGTCTGCTACACACATGTACAGCGAGGGACCCACAAATGTATGAGACGAGATGGGGTTACACAGCGAGTAGACTACATCGCGCGACTATCAATATAGCAAACTATTGGATAAATAAAAATGAATACAATTCAACAAATATTGAGAATAGACAATCTAACTACAGAGAGACAGTATGAAATTTGATATTATAAAATAGAAGCTGACTAAACAATTGATTACGTGCGGTAGTCCAACACTATGGTCAATTTAATTAAACATTACCAACAATTACAAAGATCGGTGATGATAACATTAACATTATAATACTCTACAACAGTAATCGTCGGAGAAACACGACACAACAGTTTTGCAACTAGTCGCATTGTATAGCATCACATGGATGTTCGTCGATTTTATGGAAGGAAATAAAGAGTGAGAAGACAATGTAATAACTAATCTTCATACACCTATTAGAGATTGAAGAGTAGACAAGGCGTACGGAATGAATTAAACATAGCGACACGTTTATCAATCATGCTACAACGAGTTAACCCACGCGTGGGTGTACGGGGGCTTCGAATTACAGACGTCGTTTTTGGTATATCTTATATATTACTTTATTAGAGTTTTATTATTTGAAATCATGACTAGGTAGCCATAGATACTATACAATCAACAATAATAGATAGTAAAATAGAGAAGCGAATATAACTGAAACAGAAGTATTAGTTTCTAGTTAACAAATATTTTTTTTCCTAAGAACTAAAGACGGTTTTTATGGTACTAAGACGGTAACGGACGTTGTCGTCCGAGCGAAACCCGCCCGGAATCGGCTTGCGAAGAAACGAAGATACAACCTAGAGACTGCAGGAACCATCTAACCGAGAATAACTATGCCATGTTACTGCCAGTGTTGACCAAACGTTTACATAGCGGGACGCAAGGAAACGGTCAAGTGAAGAAGAGCTAAATGACTCGCCCGGGTCTAGCACAAAATGAAGTGGGTCGTCACACTGTGACCAAATTCTGTCTGAAGCGTGTCTATTACCAGGTCGGAATGTCGTAATTGAGTTATTGTTAATAAATTAAACCAATAAAAATAAATCGGAATAATTAATTCGTCGTCTGGTAAAAGTCTGCTTTAGGTGTCTGATTAGTGACTCAAAGCTAATTCAATATTGTAATATAAACAATCAATAGAATCTTGTAAAATTTATTAATAGGTACAGATCCTCGTACAATCAGAGACCTCACTTCTACTAGCTCTAAGACAAGCTACCATATCGTGCACCTGCTGTAACAGACAGGGTACTAAAAACACACATCTTGAGAAAACGGTTATGGCCCTACTCACACCTCGTCACACACGTAACACCTAGACTTCCTAGTAAGCCGCTACGGCATTTTTACTCAACACCGTATCCGACTAATATACATTCACAGACAGATTACAAACAAACTGGTCCATAATCGCGCAGAAGGATCGATAAAACAATCTACGAACTTTTTTGCCCCAGCAAATGATGTATACCTGATCTCACACCGTTACACTTTACTTCTTACATGTTGAACACAAATACCTGTACTTTCTACTTCTTACATGTTGAACTCAAATACCTGTACTTTCTACTTCTTACATGTTGAACTCAAATACCTGTACTTTCTACTTCTTACATGTTGAACTCAAATACCTGTACTTTCTACTTCTACATGTTGAACACAAATACCTGAACTTTCTACTTCTTACATGTTGAACACAAATACCTGTACTTTCTACTTCTTACATGTTGAACTCAAATACCTGTACTTTCTACTTCTTACATGTTGAACACAAATACCTGTACTTTCTACTTCTTACATGTTGAACTCAAATACCTGTACTTTCTACTTCTTACATGTTGAACTCAAATACCTGTACTTTCTACTTCTTACATGTTGAACACAAATACCTGTACTTTCTACTTCTCATATTAATCAAAACATATCTCTTCACACTCGCATATCCACCCTGATCATTATCCATCACACATTTGGTTATTTGATTGATTTATATACTGCATTGTCATTGTCTTGTTTATGTTTCTTATGCTGGTGTTATCTATTGTGTATCTTGTTTTTTATGTGTTTGTACGGCGACCTTGAGAGCCTTGAAAAGCGCCTATATAAAATAAATGAATTATTATTAATTAAAAAATGATACAAAAATTAAATACGAAAATAAGCTAAAATATTTTTTCAAAATAATAACTACTAGAAGAACTCGTCTCTGTGACTTTGAGGAGGGAGCTCAGCACTGTTACGCACCAGGAAGGCCTCGTTGAACTCGAAGGAGCAGGGGAACTGCCTCTGCAGCTGGTGCACGCAGTCGAGCCACTGCAGGAACACGGGGCAGCGCTCGTTCACGTCCTCCGAGTTCTCTCCGTGGCCGCAGCGGTCCGCAAACTTATGGCCGAAGTCCAGCCAGTCGGTCTCCACCAGAACCTGGAAGCCCTGCAGGAGGACGGCACGAGATGTTAAAGAATATATGAGAACATGTAAAGAACAGGGTAATAATGACATAAGCAAAATTATATAAATTCAACAGTGTTTTCATTAATTTACAGACATTAAATCCTTAGAAACACAAGGGGAATTAAAACAATAATACATTTAAATAATAATAATAATAATGATTAGAGAAAGAATTATCCCAAATTATACTGTTATTTAATTAAACAACAAAAATATACATTATAACACAACATAAAAACACAAAAATGCCCCCAAATAATAAGAATTAAAAAGTATAACATACGTCACAAGGTCTTAGATCTAAGGACTTGTTACTTTACAGCTTTAGGCTTTGAACGTAATATATGAATGCACACAGAAAGATACACAAAGGTATTTCAGGACTATAAAAAAAGACAATAAATGCTTAAAAACTGTGTGAAATGTGAAATTTAAACAACAATAAATAAAACGAATAATAATAATAATAATAATAAATTGAGAACAAGTAAAGAACATGATGATAATGACATAAGTTATCCACACAAAATTATGTAAATTCAATTGTTGTTTTAAAATGTTCATTATGGTAACAATAGGAGAGTTTTCATTGGAAAATCCCCAAAGTAATAATAGTATAAATTGCCAACAAAGTCCAGATTCAGTTATGGGAACGAGAGGAATATTAAAAAAATGTCCAAAATAATAAAAATAAAAACGTATAACAAAGGCCAGTGTCAGTTACAGAGGTGGGAGGTAGTGGAGTACAAATACTTTGTTTCTGTACTTGAGTAAATGTTTCTGGTATCAGTACTTTACTCCACTACTTAATTTTCTGACCACTTTTTACTTTGACTTCTTACATTTAGAACACTAATACCTGTACTTTCTACTTCTTACATGTTGAACCCAAATACCTGTACTTTCTACTTCTTACATGTTGAACCCAAATACCTGTACTTTCTACTTCTTACATGTTGAACTCAAATACCTGTACTTTCTACTTCTTACATGTTGAACTCAAATACCTGTACTTTCTACTTCTTATATGTTGAACTCAAATACCTGAACTTTCTACTTCTTACATGTTGAACACAAATACCTGTACTTTCTACTTCTTACATGTTGAACTCAAATACCTGTACTTTCTACTTCTCTCATTTTCCAAACAGCTGGTTCCTTTAGTTTGAATGTGTGTTTGGTGGCGTGATCATTATTATTTAGAGTCATTGCGTGCCTATTGATTTGAACACGATCCGTGTATCCATCATTTCCTGGTCTTCTCTAAAGAAGAGGGACCAATGAAAACGTTGTCATGTTGCCGTTGTTCAGCATGGAAACATTCATTGTGTGGTGTGTGTGTGTGTGTGTGTGTGTGGTGTGCTGTGTGTGTGTGGTTGGTGTGTAAGTGTGAGTGTTGTGCTAAACATAACATGATAGAGAATGATAGAATTGAAAACAGTTCTTCGTTTATTTATTTTAAACTGACAGCAATTTAATTTCCAATTTTGAGTGGGTAAACCCTTTACAAACGCAACGTCGTCGTATTTTTCTCTTCCGTAAAACATAAAAAAAGCGACCAAAATAGAAAGGAGTGGGAGAGAGAGGGCGCTTACAAAACTCTCGTGAAACGTCGCTAGTAGCTGGAGCAAGCCTGCGGGGCACTAACAGACCGTCTCAAGCGGACGTTGCGGAGCAAGGGCTGTGCTCGTACCTCTCGTAGGCGGAGTTGTCTGTGACGCGGTTTATCAGAGACTGCCTGGGTCCAGTCTAGCCACACCACACACACACACACACACACACACACACATAGGGTCTCGACGTCTCTCATGTGTGTAGGAAAGGAGTTCATCTTCAAGTCTATGAACACGAATTTTTTATGAGAACCACCCTGTCATTATTCATGACTATTTAAGAAAGGAGTTCACTTTCATTTCCTTGAAACTTTACATGAAGTCATTTTTCATGGTATTGATCGTCGCACAAAATGTTCTATGCGACTGGAGGGATATAATTTCTCTGTTATTACATAACAATC